GTGTGTGAGGGGGGGGGGTGCTGTGTGTGTGCTGTGCGCGCGTGTGTGTGTGTGTGTTTATGTCGTTACATCAGTCTCGTATTTCTTCAAGATGACATCATACTGTACTTGTGTCATTACATCATTGTGTTTGAATCGTTTGCAGACAAATCGCCTACACTCCACTATGCACTGGATGTCACGAAAATCCAGTATTTTATCAATATTTCAGCTACCGTCACCATCATCAGGAAAACATTGAGAATATACTAGATTTGTGTGCAATGCAGTGCATGCATGAGTGTAGGTCAGGTGCCTGCAATTGTTCTAGTTTCAGCAAGCTGCATGGGACATCCTTTATACATTCACATCACAGTCTATGCTGATTGCTTAGAAGCATACAGTACTTCCTACATTTACAATTATTCTTCCATGATCCTTGCATGGCGCCACTACACACTGGAGAGTAGCTAGACCAACACTAATTATCAGTAGTCTTCATTGTTTCCAATACAATACTGGTGTCGCTATGCTTCTTTTGCAATAGGTCCTTGTGCAGTTATATTGACTTATCTTCACTGCAATATCAGTTTCATGCTCCAATGCTTCCTTTACAGCACTGAGGTGTGCTGGGCTTAATCAATGGCATTTCCAGCTTGCTTGCTACACTTTCACATACTCTCTTTAGGTGTTTTGCTGCCTGCTGCTTGTTTCCCGAAATAGACACCAGCTGAAGCTTCCTAGCTGGCCCCCTTGCCAGAGTCCTTGTTAGATTCTGTATAAGTTCTCTAGTTTGTATCTCATACGTTGTTGATTGAGTAGAGGCCTTGCTAGAGAACAGTTAGGTATTGCTCTATGGTCATCCCTAGTTTTCTTTGCAGTTCAAACAGCTCAGATCTCTGTGTGAAGACTGTGTGTGAGAAAGGGGTATTTGTGAAAGGGTCGGGCTTGCGCCTTCCGAACAAAACTGGTAGCAGAGGATGGTTCGCGAGTAGATCCTAGACCTTTTGTTTCGTAGTCAACAGTGAGTACATTTTCGGCTGTGGGTTTGGACCCCATCAGTCCTTGTCAAGCAAAGGAGTCAACAACAGTCGACTTGGGTGGTGTACCCACCAATGACGAATAAAAAGACAACTACCTTTTGAGAAGGCGGTTGCAAAGCGAGGCGTTACCAGTCGACGGAAACGCCTGCGCGAGCATATCAACGAGATGTCGGCAGAGAGGGTTCATTCCACCACAGAACAACTTCGGCTGGAAGGGAACCAGGTATGTTCGATACTAGAAATGCTAGAAGAACTGTACACCAATGGAAAGGATCAGAACGGAGTCCGAGCGACTCAAGAAGAGATGAATGTATTAGAAGAGGAATTAAGAAGAGCTGAAGAAGAAGCTAACGAATTCATGGGATCATGTACTTTGAAAAGCGATTGCCAGGAGTTGCAACACATGCAACCGCATTATGGAAATCCTAATGATGCATCTGCGCAGGCTGAGTGATCGAGTGTGACCAGCGCAGGATTGTCAGGCACATGCTAAGCTAGTCCACATCCTAATACCAGCAATGCGCAGAGTAGTGTTGGCATGTCGGGTTTCTCCACCGAAATTGAAATGGAAAGTGCCACTTGGCCAATGCTACCACCACTGATTCATTCATCTATTTATACCACTCTATCAGTGGTCATCACCACTGAGCATAGTGTGACACAGGCAGGCCATGTAACAAATGTGTCACGAAGTACTAGCTGGACCTCTGCATACATGTACACTGACAGTGCTGTGGTACCCAATGCAGGTACTGGCTCTTCAACTGGGACTAATGAGTAATGGTGAAGTGCAGTCCAGTGATGGTAATGATCATGTAATGGTAACACCGTCAACAGAATGGATGCAACCAATGCCTACAATCAATGGTGCTGTTCAACAGCTGAGCCCCAGTATACAGGCCATAAGTCTGAACAATGGAAATAATGTCTATGGAAATCAAGTGGCACATCAATCGTCAGTGATCAACTTGCTGGAGGGGGTCACAAGGGAAGCTGAGTACAGAGCACTGGCAAGTGAGACCAGACAAGGTGTGAGCAAACCAAAACCACAGATGCCTCAGCAAGCAACAATGCGGCCTCAGACACCACCACGACAACATCTCAACAGGTGGGAGCCTCGACCAACCACAACACATGGCAGAACGTGTGTAGTAACGAACTCCACCAACAGACGGTGTTGGCCAGCATGCAATGACGACAAGCACAACGTTTGGGAGTGTGCAACGTTTAAAGAGATGAGCATCGCACAACGCTCGGTAATAGCGACCAACGAAAGGTTATGTTATGGGTGCCTGAACAAAGGCCACATGGTGACGCAATGTCAATGGCAGATCACGTGCAACAGAGATGGATGCAAGGAAGTACACCATCAAATGCTCCATGCTGATTCAACTAGCACTACCGCCTCAGAACCAGCACAGCCCGTGCCGAAGCACACAACTTGGAAACCCAAGCCAACACCCAGACGTCGTCGGAACAATCCAACAGTTGGCCTCACAGTCACATCGCACGATCCATGTGAAGAGGTGGCAAACTCCATGGAAGGGGAGCAAGATGCTTTCACAGTAGCCCATGCAATCAGTACAGCGATTGGGTTGCGAACTGTGCCAGTAATACTCAAGAATGGAATCAAAGAAATGCAAGTGAATGCCTTGCTTGATGATGGTAGTACTGGTACATTTCTCAACAGCAGCATGGCTTCGGAACTCGGGTGTAATGGTCCTCCAGACATATTGACAATCAACATGCAATCAACATGCTCAATGGTCAGCAATCCTCCTTCCCATCCATGCCAGTGAGGGTATCGATCAAAAGTTTGAATGGCAATGTTGAGGCCACAATAATGGCACAGACAGTGGACAATGTCGTAGGGCAAATGCCTATTGTCGACTGGAACCGCCACACTCACAGATGGAAGCACCTGCAGGGAGTCCAATTCCACATCATCAACCATAAGAAGCCGGTTGATCTTCTGATCGGCCTGGACAACGCACCGTATCACGTGGCAAAAGCAGAAATAATAGGCAACGAAGGAGAACCCATTGCTCGCCTAACAAAGCTTGGATGGACGTGCGTTGGCAATTCGAACCCAGGAACAACACCACGAATGAACACTGGCCAATCCTTCCTGATCAACGGCATCCGAGCATCGAGCAATCCAGACCATGAACTAAACGACTTAGTATGGAGGCTCTGGGAAATCCAAGAGGTGAGCCCTGCCAAGGCCCAACAGCTGGATGACGATAAACGGCAAGCCGTAACATCAGTACAGCAATCAATCAAGTCACCGTGATACAGATGATACAGATGATACAGATGATACAGATGATACAGATGATACTGATGATAAAGATGATACAGATGATACAGATGATACAGATGATACAGATGATACAGATGATACAGATGATACAGATGATACAGATGATACAGATGATACAGATGATACAGATGATACAGATGATACAGATGATACAGATGATACAGATGATACAGATGATACAGATGATACAGATGATACAGATGATACAGATGATACAGATGATACAGATGATACAGATGATACAGATGATACAGATGATACAGATGATACAGATGATACAGATGATACAGATGATACAGATGATACAGATGATACAGATGATACAGATGATACAGATGATACAGATGATACAGATGATACAGATGATACAGATGATACAGATGATACAGATGATACAGATGATACAGATGATACAGATGATACAGATGATACAGATGATACAGATGATACAGATGATACAGATGATACAGATGATACAGATGATACAGATGATACAGATGATACAGATGATACAGATGATACAGATGATACAGATGATACAGATGATACAGATGATACAGATGATACAGATGATACAGATGATACAGATGATACAGATGATACAGATGATACAGATGATACAGATGATACAGATGATACAGATGATACAGATGATACAGATGATACAGATGATACAGATGATACAGATGATACAGGTGATACAGATGATACAGATGATACAGATGATACAGATGATACAGATGATACAGATGATACAGATGATACAGATGATACTGATGATAAAGATGATACAGATGATACAGATGATACAGATGATACAGATGATACAGATGATACAGATGATACAGATGATACAGATGATACAGATGATACAGATGATACAGATGATACAGATGATACAGATGATACAGATGATACAGATGATACAGATGATACAGATGATACAGATGATACAGATGATACAGATGATACAGATGATACAGATGATACAGATGATACAGATGATACAGATGATACAGATGATACAGATGGGAAATACACTGTGGGTGTAACATGGAAATCTGACCCGGCAAAGCTACAGAGCAGCTACAACATGGCCTTAAGCGACTAGGTCCCACCGGGAAACGCTTGCTGAATGTCTGCAACACAGTACAGCAACACAATCAATCGCTACCGAAAACTTGGATGTATCTCAGAAGTAAAACCGGACGACAAGCAAACCGGATGGTATCTGCCGCACTTCCCAATTAAACAAATGGGCCGGGAAGCGACGAAAGTGAGAATTGTATTTGATGCTGCAGCACAAGTCTCAGGAGTATCACTAAACAGTGCCATCAGTCCCGTACCCAAGCTTCAACGCAACTTAACACAGGTACTTCTACGGTTTCGGAAGGAACCTGTGGCAGTGGTCTGTGATATTGCAGGAAGGTGTCTACAGATTGCCATTCCAGAGACGGATCGAGCATATCACCGATTCCTATGGCGAGAACCAGGATCAACACAACCGCTGACGGTATACGAATTCAACTGAGTGGTCTTTGTCAGCACCTCCATTTCTCGCACAGTACGTAACACAAGAGCATGCCAGGCAATGTGCTGATGATCTACCACTGGCTTCCGCAGTAGTTTTGAATTCGAACTACATGGATAATACCATGACTTCAGCCAGTGATTATGATGAAGGCAAGTTACTACACTCCCAACTATCAATATTGTGGTCATCTGCCGGAATGCACCCACGGAAATGGCTCACCAACTCCGTTAACGTCTTGGCTCAAGTTTTCCAAGAAGACAGAGCTTCTCAATTGGAACTTGACTCGGAGCAGTTACCAGCAGTGAAAACGCTTGGAATACTCTGGGAGGCAAAGCAAGATGAGTTCACCTTCAAGGTTTCAGAGGAGCAAGCTATGACCGAACGTCTGTTTCTTCGGAAAATCTCTAAGCTCTTTGACCCACTGGGCTTCCTCACTCCATTTGTGGTGCGAGCCAAAATGCTATTTCAACAGATGTGGCTCGACATGTATGACTGGGATGATCCCCTACCAGCTAATGTAGTTGCAACAGCCCAGCAGTGGTTTCGGGAACTGCCAGCGCTAGCCGCAGTTCGGATTCCGTGGTGCACCCAACAAGCATCATCCAAGTAGGCACTGAGTGCACACACTGAGTACACACACTGAGTACACACACTGAGTACATACACTTTTTGAGAGGACATTCCTTGATGTCCGGGTTTTCAACCCATTTGCCCCCTCAAACCAAAAGTCATCAATCCCGGTAGTGTACCACAAGCACGAAAAGGAAAAGAGAAGAAGTTATGAGAGAAGAGTCGTTGAGGTAGAGCACGGATCATTCATCCCGGTCATGCTCAACACCACAGGTGGTCATGGCAAGGCAGCTGGCAATCTCTACGCTCGGATTGCATCCATGTTGGCCGATAAGAGGTCCGAGCCTTTATCGTCATGGCATACATCCGCACTCAACTGTCTTTTGCGCTGGTCAATGCCGCAGTCACAGTCCTGAGAGGTCATCGGCACAAAGCGTCAAGAATCAACGGCTGCCCTTCGATCACGTTAGCAGTGGCAGAATGCAGCATGTAATGGTCAATCCTTGACTTAGTTTGGTAGTCGTTTTAGTACCTCGACCCCCGTGCTGAGTTTGATATGGTTTCTGGTATCTTGGCCATAGACTACTACGCATACTGCTTCTAGCGGTTTCTTTGCATTTTACTGATTGATTACTAGTACTAAAAAAGGGTTTGCTCCCCACACCGGAGCTCGCGCTATTCGGTGTGGGGAGCAAACCCTTTCTTACAAATCATCGCCGAAGTCGCAACCACTACTTTGATTACTAGTACTGTTTACTGTATTTATTTCACCATGGCTGGTTAAAATCGCCCGCATCACATGCTTATTGGCACTATGTCATTTTGATTGTGAAATAATAATAATAATTTAAAATACACACACTGAGTACATACACTGAGTACATACACTGAGTACATACATTGAGTACATACACTGAGTACACACACTGAGTACATACACTGAGTACACACACTAAGTACACACACTGAGTACATACACTGAGTACATACACTGAGTACACACACTGAGTACATACACTGAGTACACACACTAAGTACACACACTGAGTACATACACTGACTACATACACTGAGTTTTTTTCCCGACTGTCGACACTGCATTTATTCGCACAGCAGAAAAGCAACCAACAGAAAATCACGGAGTCATAGCAAACAAAACAAGATCATCGGATAATAAAAAGTGTGGCTAGACACGGCTACTCCGCAAGAGTCTCAGTCACGCAACTGACAGTCGTTGACTGCCAGCACAACAGGAGTGGCAGCATCCAAACGACTGCGGTAGGGAGAAGCACGGTGACCACGGAGGCTCATGTTGCAGGATCGAACCAAAGCAAAGGAGACAAGAGAGCGGATCCAGGACATGACGGAGGAGTAGAGTTCATGCCACTTCTCCCAAACCATATGGCCAAGACGCTTCAGGAAAGCGTGGGCTACCTTGCCGCACCCACCAGATGCACTGAATACCAGTGGGAGAAAGGAAGCATGCTCCACCTCCCTGACGCGTTCTTCGTAGGCCCTTCTCTTCTGCTGTTCGTGCTTGGCATAGGTGGACGCAGGAGTTGAGGAAGTGTTCGAGCGCGCATGAGGGTTAAAAACCCGAACATCACAGAACGTGCGCTCAAAACGACTTCCCCAGACACCAGATGCCGCCACATCAAGACGAGCACCATCTTCCAAGATGGCAGAGCGATACCGGAGCCTTTCACCCTCCAGGGGCTGCAGAGGAGGTTCTATCTTCACATCCGTTGCCACTTCACGCAGTAGGTCGGCTGTCAGGTCGCGGATCGTGTTATGGCGGAGAGCCGGGTATCCACCAGTTGGGCACGAAAGAGCATGGCTGGTGTTAAATGCCTTGCCACACACACAAGTGGATGGCAGGCGGGGAGGGACCCAGCCGAACCGCAGACAGAGTGCGTCTCTGAAGGCGCCTTTGTGGAGGACAAACCCGAACTGCTTCAGGGGCCGGTAAGTGAGCCAGTTGGACGCTCCTTTCTCGGCCGCCATCCCCAGGGTTCGCTGGGTGGGCGCATCACATGTGGCCAAGAGCTGACTGGCTTGGTTTCGAGCGGCTCTCCTGGTTGCTGCTGCTGCAGTTAGCTTGGCAGCATGGATGGTGGTGGGCACTTCGTCCATGTTGGTATCTTGGTCCAGTATCCGGCTCACGAGGATGTTGGTGACAGCGACAGACATATTGTATTGGTCCGTCAAAGACCTCGGGTCAATGAGACCAAGACCACCTTCTCGACACGGGAGGGACAGTATGGCGCGCTCTTCGTCACCAGGTGCGGGGCGACTGGTTAGAGCAGGGATGAACCGCTGTCGGATGGAGTGCTCCAGCGGGTCTAGCAGTCCGCTGATGCCTGGGACCGTCCGGGCCACAAACGACCACTTGTGGCGGAGGCCATGAATAAAAGCAGCGTATGCCGCTTGTGGCCGAGTGGTGGCGAAGTCAGCCAGTCGTCCAACCTCTAGCGCCCATGTCTCTACCTTCTCTGTGACATATTGCTTGCAGAATTCGGGAGACCCAAGTACCGCACCGAGATGCCGCCAGCCATCCGTGCGAATCTGGACTGCCGTGTCAGCAAACAGGGATTCTGCTTCCTGAAGATGCTCCGGCTTCACAACAAGAACCGACTTGGCATCATTGGGGAAGTACCCATATGCTGGGCCTCGTTGCTTAAGCAGTAACCACCAGTGATGCAGCTTTCGAATGGTGGAAGCGGCAGTGGAGTCGTCTGCATACCACGACTGGAGTGCTCCGCTCTGAGACACTTCCTGGATGAGAGGAACGGTTGCCAGGGCATACATAACCATGGCTAGTGGATCTCCCTGCGTGGTGCCTTCACAAGACAGGAGACATTCACCATCCACAAACAGCCGAGTCGGGCTGCGGTAGCTGTTGATCAGTGCCGGAGCAATGGTGGGGCAGGTGTGCTGGATATTGTGCAGTGAGACAGCACGGTTAAGGGAGTTAAATGCGTTTGACGCATCTGCAAACAGAACGCCTTCCGCCTCGTCTTCCTGAAATGCTGTTTGCATAGCATGTATTGCTGCTTCTATGCCACACTCTTGACCCGCACATAGCTGTAGGCAGCCAGCTGACTTTTGTATTGAAGATGAGGCGCATCGCAGGATGGCTTTCCCGATGATGCGACGGGCCACTTCTCCGATCCCAATCGGTCTGACACCCGGTTGTTTATCTAGTGGTATGAGGCGGCTGGCCAAGAAAGCTTCCAATGCTGTGGGGTCAACATAGGACGAGGCGATGCGGCGGGCACAGCTGGCCAGTGAATCGCAGAGGTCATCAGATGCTCCGTGAAAAGCTGTGCACATTCTGCGCCACGACGCAGCGTCTAGTCCAGAGGGTCCTGCAGCACCTTGTGTGTGGAGGGCTGCCTCGCGTATGGCCTCCCGGGTGATGCTGGAGTAGAGAACTGGATGCGGTGACGGAGGGACATCTCCTGTAATCATCGCCGTCGCATTTGCTGGTGCCGCGGGAGGGTGTTTGCTCTTGCGAATGTCCAGAACTGTCTGGCCATTGATGGTGGTGCCCACGGAGTGTACTCCGCCCTTCTGGTCTTCAGACAACGTGCGGATTGCAGCACTGGTTTTGCCTGTGGTGATGAGGTTGGCAAAGGTACGAGCTTGGTCCTGCGGCTGAGCCTTGCCTTGGAAGGCTGTGGAAGATTGCACTAGAGATTGGATAGTCCGGACTTCTATCATCAGTTCGTTGATGTTGCCTTCCTCCCAGAGTAGCATGCGGCGCTGTAGACAGGTGATGTGCTCCTGTCTGGTTGCAGAGCGGTGCGGACATTGCAGGAGCAGCTGAGTGGCCACTGCAGCTGCTTTCAGAGACTTGCCTTCACCTGCACATTTGTCACCAAACTGTTTGTAGAGTGTTGCAAGGAGCTTCACAAACTTTGATCCGACTGACCCGGAAGGGAGGAAAAGTAGGTTAGGCCTAAAATGCACCACTTCTTCATATACAGCATCTACAATTTGTGCAGACGAGTTTGAATCGTGGGTCCCAACTGTGATGTTGCAATTTGCTTCCAGATATGGGGGGAGCTGGGCTGGATCCGGTGCTTGGGGCTCCTCAGTAACAGATTGGCTTTGTGCTAGGTTGGCCAGCAACTCTGCATCATGCCCTAGGGTGTCGTCATTACTGTCAACTCGATATGTGGCACTGATGCTTGCTGCATGCTGCTGGTCCAGTATGTCCCATGCTAGTTGTTGAGAGCTCGACACAGGCATGGCATGCAGGTCAACCCTATTGACGTCACTGGAGGTGGTGGCAGCTACCTGACCAGGTTGTGAGCATGGTGCCGTTGGTGGTCCTGTGGATGTCGGGTTTCGGCATTCCGTGAGCAGGGCTTCAGTGAGTGCAGCAGCTACCAGCTCTTCCGGGGTGGCTACTGAGGATGACGGTTGGTTGTCGGTGCATGTGCTTGTATCTGTCACTGCTACGGGTACGGGTGACGGTTGGGATGTCGAGGGGCTGTTGTTTCGGCATCTGCTTTTTTTTTCCTGGGAGACAATTCTGACACTCGCGGCCCTCCTTCTTGCATTCACACCGAACGCAGGTGCCAATAGACATCCTTAGCAAAAGTACGATAACGCTAACCTTTACGGTACTCACTCCCAGCCGTGACAAAAGACGTTATCGGATAACGGAAAAACGTTACAGAGCTCAAAATAACGGGCCGACGTTCGTTATGGAAATTCTGCAAAAAAATGCAAAAACTCGCATTGTTTTGTAACTGGCGGGAGATGAAAAGCACGTCGTGCAGATCGAGATGAGATCGAGAGTCGAGATTGCTTCCTCTTGTGACATTTAGCTTTTTTGGGGAGTTTTGCCTTTCAGTTGACAATTTCTGCGTCCTCTGCTTCGTGCCTTTCCCCTCTATCCCATCTGGGAAACAAAGGACCAGTTCCACGGCACTCCTGAGGAAGAAATTCATCGGCCTCTCCCAGACGTGCTGGAGCTGGAGAACCCTTACAGTCTTCGGTGCTGCGTTTAGGAAAGGGTTTCCAAGGACC